TCCCAGAAACACCCCAGAAATAGGGGGAGGGATATTGCAGAATGCTTTTTCTCGAAAAGGCGTCACGTACCTGCATATCCTTGTGACTGCAAAAGGGCACTAGGACACGGATATCAACTGGCCTTACCTAATTAAGAATCATTAAATGTTGCAATGTGTATAACTATATTATCTGTGGTACTTTTCATTTTAAAAACTTTACATATGTTAATTTTTTTAATCGATGTAAGGCAAATTGTAAAATATTTTTTACGCAATTAAAGACGATTGCAAAAAAATAGTAATTAATCTTTATAATATTATAGAAATACAAATTACGAATGATCGACGCAAAATTGTTATAACGAGTTTAAATTACTAATCTGGACGTGACCCGTTAGACCCTTCGGAGGTCTTAGATAATGATTGCCTTACGAGTTTTTTTTTTCTTTTATAAACAGATTCGAAAAATAGAATTTAGTTGTATGAAACATTATTATTATTACATCTAACACACAACGCCATCTTGTTTCAAACTAAACAGAACTTGTATTATGAAAGATAATACCTATATAAATTATTTTGCAAATACATACATATTATACATAGAAAAATATCCAAACTCCGAAACAAATATTTGCAGATCATGCAAACATTTGGTCCGACCCGGGAATCGCACCCGAGACCTCAGCACAGCAGTCGCATACGCTACCACTACACCACCGAAGCTTTCGTATTTTCAATTTTCAAAACAAAATGAATTGATTTTTCCTCAAAGTAATTTTAATTACAACACACAGGGTATAGTTTCAAATAAACCAAAGGCGCTTATAATATTCTCAAATATGATTAAATTTAGCCTACACAGGGAACATTTAATTACATGCATATCAATATCTCAAAGGTAATGATGTCATCAATTACGTCACGGGTCAATAACCCTTATTTTCTAACATACAATATCGTGTACCACAGAGTAGAGATGAAGACACAGATTCCTTTATTAGATGAGTTTAACGTTTACTTTTATTTCTGTCGTGACAGTACTTTTATAATATTTAAAAGAAATACGTTTTCTTTTGTTGTTGTTTTGTGTTGTGTTTGGACTTATTTTTTAACAAAGTTTTTCAGAAACTGCATTCTGCAATATCCTTCCCCCTAATTCTGGGGTGTGTCTCCCTAATTATCCGTGTGTTGACGGATTAAGAATACGAAGTGTCACCAACGTAAGAGAACTAACTCATAATCGGTCCTTCTCTTAAGGAGTTACGATGCAACTGACAGACGTACAGACACACTTTAAAAAACCTCTCACTTCTAAGGAACTAAAAATACAAAGTCTACATAAAAGACGTTTTTGAAATATAGATATTTTAAGTTTGAGTTTGTTACCGCTTTCTTAAAATTATTATGTATATGTCTGCTCATTTGTATAACATATAAATATTTATCCCGCCACAGTTAATGTGCTAACATGGGTGAACAAGATTTAATCTAATACTCTATTACGGAGGCAGTCTTAATATTAAATAATGTTATAAAACTGTGCAGCGGACGTGAGTGAAAACATACGGGAAGTTAATGCGTGCGTTTACGGCTACCTACTAATTAACACATATCTGACGCATTAACATTGCAATTACCTGTTTTAATTGCCTTCATAGCGTAGTGGTCAAAAGTGATTGCTTTGCCACTACACAGCGAAAAGCGTTGATACAAAAACATATGATGATCTGCTAATATCCGTATTACACTTTAACAAAAAACTTTTGATCTGTTGTTTTATTATTATTGCGTCATAAAACACAACAATAATGAATAATTAATTAAATGTTTTCACAATCTGTATGTCTTTAAAAATAAAGTCTTAAATCCACGAGATTTGCTAATCATTTAAACAGCTCGAATATATTTTAGTTGCTCCAAGCTTAAATTTATTTAAAACTCATAACTTGTATCATAAAAAATTGAGTCACCCGATGGAAAGCGACTACCACCGCCCAAGAACGCCTGCAACGCAGGAGTCACTAGCGCGTTGACAAATAATATCGAAATGACTATTTCATGAAATAATTCCTTAGTGTATCCCAGTTCCTTAGTAAATTCATGTCCCAGAAATCGAAAAATTAACAGTTTGAATGAGATAAGTTACAAGTTAAGTACAAAAAATCTTTAAACATAAGCTTTACTTCTCAACATTCCAAAGGAAACCAAACTTGACAAAACTTTCATTTCACGGCTTGCCCGTTCCGTTTTGCATCCTGTGTGTTTCACAAAACGGACGGACACTCAAACCAGTTTCACGTATAATGTATACCTGCGTATGTAGGAACGCAGCCGCGGTCAGTGAAAGTATGAACTCATGGTCATTGCGCCTTTCGGTAATTTCGCGCAGAAAAGTGTATTGTTAATTAAGTTTTTTGTTTAATTTATAATTTTGCTAGTCTTCGACTATTTTTCTACACCCACAAATCTATCCATTCATCCGTATAATATTATATATTTTGTCATATCATGTTTTTCTTTTGTATTTCTCTTATTTCATATCTTTTCGGCAATACTACTAATCGTTTACAAAGCAATGCACTGTGATTAACTATTATTATTAGTTATTAACTATTAAGCTTAGTGTTTACGTCAAGTAAGTTACGTAAGGATTCAATTTAGTTTCAAGTAATCCAAAACTTTTCTCAAAGGATTCCGAGGCTCAAATTAGTTATTAAAGAACATTCAAATATAACACTCGATATCGAATTTAAATATTTAAAACGAAAATTATTAAAATTCGTGCTTGTATTTTTTTAACAATGCTTGCATTTTTTTTTTTTATAATATTGCAATGAAAATAACTTTTCTATTCGACTGTACTAAAAGTTTACGGATAATTAAATATTCTGCTAATTTATTATTTATATATTGTAGTATTTTTTTACGCAATTAATTATTTTTGTCAGCACTACAAGTTTATGAACAATGAAATATTTAGCAAAATGATTATTTATAAAATGTAAATATTTTTCAAGTAATTAATAATTTTTTTTGTTGTTATTTAAACTATTTTAGAGAATGATCAAGACAATTTTTTGTACTATATGGAGGAATTGTGAACGAATAAAGCTGAAGAGTGTTTGTTTGTTTTTGCTAATCTCAGGAACTATAAGTTTGTATTGAAAAATAATTTTAGTCTTGGATTTATAGAAGAAGGCTAGAGGCTATATAACATCACGCCACGACCAATAGGAGCCGAGCATCAATAAAAATGTGGAAATATCCATATCACGATGCAGGATAGCAGGTACACCTTAGTTCGGCGTATCTTCCTTAGATGGCGTTGTAGTATGTTTTCGTTTTATTGTATGTGAGAGTCGACACAGAATAACATAGAACTTTAATGGGTTATTTTTACTTCAAAAAAGTCAAGCGAATCGCGTAAGTCCTTAAACACTGCACAGCAGATTTCTGTTTAAATTGGTAACTTCATCTTCGTCAGTATATCATGGGACTTTTTGACGATATTAATTATCACATAAAAAATTTAGATTATTATGTACAGAGTACATGTAGGTATTCAAATTCCGTATCATTATCTGATAAAAAAAAATAGGTTTTTCTAATGGTGTTTTGGAAGGGCGTAAAATTCAAACTACAAGAGAATCCTATTTCACACAATTTAAGCGTAAAAACCAATATTTTCAAGTAAAATTATGACGGCCCACGCGCTCTTGTGTATATATTGTCACTTCGTTCTTCGTAAAGTTCCATTTTAACTTTTTTATTTGATCTGAGTGTAAAACTAGAAAAATAATAACATATTTGATTGAATTGATCTGTAACGGCTTGTTTTTAACTGTTTTTTTATGATATGCTTAAGGGGAAGACAAGTACCTAGAGGAGTCACCTGATGGTAAGATGGTATTACCGCCGCCCATGGACTCTCTTTGATTTTCGTTAACGGGGAAAAAAAGAAAAAAAAATTAACAAAAAATAAATAAATAAATGCTCATGGACTCTAACAACTCAAGAGTAACAATCATGAAGCCTTGTAATAACAAAGAAATCGGACAAACAAACTCACAGCCATTCTTTTAAATCACTAAATACTTTATAACAATAATTAACTAATAATACAATATTATTAATTTGCTTACAATAGCTTTGTTTTGTCATATTAGTTAAGATTTATTAATTTTACAAAAAGTTAACAAAATATACAACATTTATTTTATAATTGATATACTTGTATTCTTTGTGTAAAATGTACTAAAAGTACCGAAAAAGTCATAAATTAAGACTTTGTTTAGGCAGTTCGCCAAAAAAGAAATCTCTTTTGTTATTCAATTCGCAAATATTTTTTGAAGCTCTAAGTAGAAATCGTCTTACGGTCGAATTTCAACCCTTTTAATGTATTGTTTTATTTCAATGACCAGTATAAATTGAACTGTCATCATATAGTCTTTTGTACCATGATAGATTAAATAATTAATAATATTTCGGACAATTGACGAAACTAGATTATAGTTTCAAACTCAAACCAAGCAGAGCAGAAAACTAGATTGACTGATAAAATACTTATATACTTATTTTGTGAATACAAGCATATTATATATAAAACACCCAAACGCCGAAACAAATATTTGCAGATCATACGAACACTTGGTCCGACCCGGGAATCAAACCCGAGATCAGCACAGCTACAATTAAAATATATACTAGACAACTATAGTTTATGTGGCCTTTTACCATAATTTTTAACTCTATAGGACATGTCATTTGAAAGTGTACTTTTTTTATAATATAAACATTAAGAATTTTAAGTAAATTTCCGTGCGTCACATTTGTTTTAAAAGGAAGGAATCGAACACACCATTTGATGAGCTAACCATTTTAACCACTGAGCCATGCATGTAGTCGCCAATTAATGTACAATGTCTATATTTTACTCAAGTCCTGTTCTATATGTTACTCTCTGAAACTTTACGTGGCATTAAAATTAAATATTACATTTTCTCTTTACAGATAAAATGTATTGGACATGGGAGTTAAAAGCAGCAATAATATTTTTAATAATACAAACATGCAAAACAGCAAAACCTGAGAATACAGGACCAGCAGTTTTTGAGGTCATCAATGAACAAGCAAGAACAGACGACAAAAAAGTACTCCCATATGAGAACCCACTAGCAGGGAATTCACGGCAAAATGCGAAGTTACACGCCCAACACCAACAAGCAATGTTTAACGCAGAAAGAGTGAGGCAACATCGAGCTCAACTACTCAGATGGAACAACCAGCATCCTAAACAACAGGCAGACAGCTACATGAAAGCCTATCAAGAGTCACAAGAAAACCATCACTTGACTTTGGAAAGGATGGAATCCAATTCGAAAGAAAAAAAAGCCAGAGGAAGATCAGAGCAAACAAAAACTCTGAAAGACAACGCACAGCTCGAACCTTCCAAAGTCACCAGATCCGACGCAGTCAACAAAAATAGAAATCACAGATCATTTGGATCAATACACACCAGCCATCATAATAAATATAAAATCCACACTTATCCTGGACCTACGTATGACCAAGGAGTTAATATCAAAACAAATGGAAATTTAGGATTACACAACTATGCAAAAGAGCATACGACTTTATATACAGAAGCTATACCGAGTAAATCTCATTACATTTATCCAAAACTTTATAGCCAAGCGTATGCATACCAAACCGCAAATGACATTAGCAGTTTAAGCTCTCTACTTAGTCAGTCACCACAAGAACAATTAACTCAGCTGAATACTTTAATCAATTCGCCAAAAGAAACAGAATCAGACCCACTCAATACAAACCATGATTTATACTTCTACCTTAAAGATCCGCAGTTGTCAAACGAAGCATCATCATTGTCGTCTGTGGGATCTAATTCTGGAGGGCATGTTATTGAAAAAGATTTCACGCCGATTACTGAAGAGATTGATGATATAGAAGATAATAGGGACCCTAGAATAAAATTTATTCAACTAGCACCTACACCTACAGCTTTAAGTCAAGAGGGCGACGGTGAAGTTACGACACAAAGTAATTATTATAAAATAGAAGGCGAACAATCTGTAAAAAATGATGTGTCTGAGAGCACACAATATGTTTCTCAAGATGAACCAAACTACGAAGAGTTAAAACGTGAAACTCTCTTGCATTTTTACCTAAATGAGCCAAGTACGAAAGGAGTTAAATATCTAAAATCGCAACCGACCGGTGTACAGCATTTAACACATGATGGAACTGGAGTTTCAGCGTATGGTGATGACGATGTAAGTATTAAAAACAATAGGACCAAACGTGAGTTAGATACAGCATATTTCATTTTAGGAAATTATACATCAACAACTGAAAACATACAACCGGTATCGAACGAAACCTTGATTAATTTAGAAATGAACTGTACTTTAAATATATATAATTTAACACTATCAGATTATAAAAATGAAACATTACCAACTCCGGAAGAATTAAAACGAAGTAGATATTTACTGACAGATAACGCTTATAATATAGGAGAAGCATTTGATTACGATTATAGTTACGACGAAAACGAACCTAATAATAAATTCGATTATTCCGACGTAAGCGACTACGATTACGAATTTACCATACCAGAGTATGATTATGAAGTACCTAGTCAGAGACCCAGACCGAACAGACCACGACGACCTGATACAAATCAGAATCGTGATAACAGAGGTAGTTTTTCTAATCGATTCAGTAAATTTAGACATCCAAACTTCGATGATTATCATCCGGAATCATTGAACCGTGATTTTGGCGATTTTGATTCACTTTATTATGGGACTGGTCACCAATTTGGACTGCCAACTAGCAGTTATGGGTCACCAATTCATTATAGCTCACCAGTTATTCCAACGCCTACATCGTTTCCAAGTATTCAACACGGACTTGATCCTGTGCCACAAGTATCTGGAGTTATAAACTCGCTGCAGCCCGTTTATATGTTGACACAGTCGCAGATTAAGAATTTACTATCAAATCAAAAGTTGAACATTGAACATTTAGATGTATTTCAACTGCCTCACGATTCTGTACAGAAACCGCGACGTCCCAAATATCCAAGACAGCATAAACCGAGATATAATAGATTTCCGAAAAGCGCCAGAAAGTATAAGTTAGGACGGCTTAGAAAGTTGAACAAATTCGTTAAATTTTAGATAATTAATAAAAAAAAAAAGTGTCAGTGGACCAATAAAAGCAAGGTTCTACCAACTTAAGGTTTGACCGTTGCTGTAAAAAAATCGTCAGTTTTCTCGCTTCTGTTTATGCCGTCAATTTTACGACTTGACTACTAATGAGAAGGTTAGGTACCGTTTAAGTACCTAGTCGATGATAACTTTTCAACGGGCACTATTTTCTTATTTCTACTTACAAAAGGAGCAAGAAAAATATTGTAAATCTTAGTTAGAAACGACTTACCCACTTCGAAAAAGTTAGGAAAAGTTACTTCCAATTTAAATTAAAAATCCTATTCGTACAAATAATTCGTACTAGAATATCTGTTTTGTGTTAATATTTGCACCAAAACCGCCAATGAGAAAATTATTTTAACAAGCCCAGTTGAAAACAAACTATTATAATGGAATCTGTCAGAGAGAAAGAAAATTGAGATTTCATTATTTTTTAATTTGTTATCGTAATAAGTAATAAAACTTTGACTAGATACCGATATCGATATACCGAAATACCGAACGTTATGCTATTTATTTATTTTAAATTGTAATAAGTTATTTAATTTATTTACTTAGAACACCTAAGTTATTGCTTTTAAATTAAACATTAAGTAATCGATAAATATAATTTTATTAATTATTAAATTAATTTATTATGCTATGCTATATATAATATAATTTTATTAAATTAACTTATTGTTCTATAGCATGCTTACCTAAGTTATTGAATATTTATTTTCGTTATTATTCATTAGTTCATTTATTTTTTTAAATAAAATATCACACAGTTATTAGATTTTGTGAGAAACAAAACGTCCCTATGTCAACCACAATCAAATTGTGCTTACTCAGTGTACAATGACACTAGTAATGAATACATTTAGTTTCTATACAAATATTAGCATTACAGAAATGTGTCAACTCTAATAAGTGTTGCGAAAGTTATTTTAACGATCTTTCGTACACTCATGGTGATTTTCATATGACGTAACATCAAGCTTTCGTATACAGGTATAAACAGACAGAAAAGATAAGAATAGAGGTTTCTGCACTGTCAGCTAAGGCCGTACCCACAGTGCTCACTTGCCTTACTCTTGATGCTGTAATTGGTAACAGACCGATGGTTTTTTTTTCAAATTACCGAAATACGTATTAATTTTAAAGTAATAATCTGTATGTCTGTGTCTGCTCTTAGGGCGCGGCGAAACTATAGAGTAAATACATCCCCCGTGCCTCGTCTCATCCCCTTGAAATTCGAATTTCAAATCACACAACTCAACCACAAAGTTTAGCCGTATTTTTTTTTGCAATCAATTTATTACTACAGTAATTAAAAACTCGCTAAATAAATACTCGCTATGTACAGACTGACTGTAAGACTAAAAATGTTGCTAAAATAAATACTTTACACTTTATTTACTTCCCTAGTTTTGCCCTTTCCTAAAACAATTCTTGGCTATGCTGTTGCTCTCCCCAGAAGGCCAGAAGCTCTATACTTAGTATCTAATCTGCTATTGCATCGTCATATCTCAAATTCCTGAATCTTCGGCGATTTTAAAGAGACTGAAGTGGAGGAACGCGTGTCATGTGCCTCCATCCAACACAAGGATCCTCCGACCAGGCGAGGTGATCATGCCTGTCGGGCCGCAGCCCAACGGTTGATGTTGGGAAGTTGTGTATATGCTAATTGGCGAGAGAATTCTTCATATCGCGATACAGGATTAGCAATTCTCATTTTTAGTAGTTACTCCGTAGTTCGGTGTGTCTTCGTTAGATGGCGCTGTAGTATGTTTCTGTTCCTTTGCATGGAGTCGCCACATGGAGTTCTTCAAGAGTAATGACAGAATTAATAGATTAATATTAAATTGTTTAGTTTCTTACATTGGCGTATCTAATCTGTCACATCTGTCGAAAAAAGTAGTAAAACTAAAAATTCACAGTTTTTACTACTATTTGGTCTTATTTTCTTTATTACCCATGCGAAGCTTGAACAAGGAGCTATTTTACGATGAACATGGAATGGAGTTCATTGTGTTGTCACCAAAATAATGCTTATTTAAAAGCACTCTTTATAACCAGCAGACAGTTCCTCTTCTAATACTAAACTTTGTTTATATCAAATCGTTTAATACAAATTTCTAATAAATGTAATTAATTAAAGATCACTGAGTGTTTGACTTGTATACGTAACTAATCGTTATACTTCTGTCCCACTCGCTCACCTATTTAGACGACAAAATTTACAACCTAAATTCTTGTCTTTTCCGTATTTAATTATTTTCAAACATTTTCTTTTATACAAAGTCCAGTCCTGTCCTATCCAGACAAGTACACCACAAAAAAGGGATCGAAATACTTTCGATAATAAAACAGTTTCGGAATAGTTTCACAGTTATACTTATTTATTTCTCATTACAAATATAAACTAAAACAAAAGTTACAATAATTTAAAAAGTCCATAGAGTCCACCGGTGGCCTGTGTGGCTCTATGAAAAGCTCATTTATAAATCAATTATTTAGTATTTAGTTCACACAGGTTGTATGGAATACCCACGAATTCGTGTGTTTACATTCATATTTCCATTATAGTGGTTTAAGCGGTCGCCACGCCACTTCCTACTACGCCGAGTGTTGTGGGTTCAAACCCCACATGGGACGTCACTTTGTGTGATACACAAATTGTTGTTCTGAGTCAGGGTGTTCTTTGTGTTCATGTATGTTTGTAAAGTCCCCCGCGACACAAGACAATGCGGGCGTTGTCTTTAAGAAAAAGTTGTCCATCGAAAAGTTTCCTGTAAGAAATTGTTTTTAGCGATAAGTCCGACATTTGTACTTCCTCCGAACCTTTTCCTAAACTAGGCTGGTGTCGGCTTAAGTCTTTGATTCGAACTTCGATTTTTTACTCGGCGAGTCTGCCATCTCACCTCCACAACCCAAGTACTAGGCGATATCGAATTTCTGTAGAGACTGTTGTTAGCCTTTTTAGCCTCCAACTACCCGTAACGATTGTCACAAGTACGGCAACCGGGGCTGACGACTTCGCGTTCTCTCAATGTGTAAAGAATGGTCACCCATCCATAGATTGACCAGGCTGGGTTTGCTTAACTTTGTAATGTGTAAACCACGCCACGAGCCCCTTCGCCATTTGTACATTTTTATTAATTTAATGTATGTAGGTTTTGTAGAAAAAACGAGAAACTACAATAAAGTTTATTCTATCCTAAAAGCCTGTTTAATTCCAGATACATTACGCTGCGAACTACGAATTTGGTTATCGGGTCCGCGATTCTGAATCCGGTAATGACTACGGTCACAGGGAAGCAAAATCTGGCGACAAAACACGAGGGCAGTACCATGTTCTTCTACCTGATGGCAGGATGCAGCAAGTGAAATATTCAGCTGGCCCCGAAGGTTTCCACGCAGACATTTCGTACGACCATCTACAGGCCTGATTGAAGAATTAAAGATCACTGCATGTTTCTTTTGGTGCTAACTTGTGTCAAAAGTGGGTTTAATGGACCCAACTCGGAGTACTAATTTTGTTCAAAGAATAAGGATGATACACCATTGCCACTGACTGAATCTGCCTAACATGAAAAAAAAAACCTAATCTAAAATCTAAAAAAAATAACTTTAGAACACTTCAAATATTTAAAAAAGTTTATTGTTAAGTAATAATTGCGTTGTGATAAGATTAAACTAATAAGTCAAGCAATAAACATGTAAGATACTTATGCGTAGGTTGTAAATAAGCTAACTATAATTTATTAAGTTATAATTCATTTTGTATATAAATAATAGGATTATTAAGAAAATAAAAAGCGAAACCATACACTTATATTTATTGTCACGTAATACCTAACCCACACATCACATATCTAATTAATTATAAAAATAACAAGAACTTGACACATTAAAAGTACACAACAGTACAGATTTTAAATTCTTTTTGTGCACAGATTAGAAAAAACTAAGCACAGATTAAATAGAAGAACTGACGTTTAACTAGGCTGTATACGCAGCGACGTCTACTGCAGAAATGGCGCGAAAGAAAAACATCGCAAAATATATACAGCGGCCTCTCGAGAAAATGTTAGAACAAAAGTAGCAATGACAAAATATGATTTAAGAGAAAATAGAAAGTGGCAATGTGTCATTGAGCGGCTATTTATACTTATATTACACCGGACAATAAAGAAACCACAGAAAATAGTAAGTGCTTAAAATATTTTATTGTTCATTAAATTATTTTCTCTGGAAACAGACGAGACTTTTCTTTGATTGTCTTCTGAACAATGTGAATAATTCCTTTATAAAGCCACCTAATTTGAGGAATTTCAATTAAGTCACCTTTCTAAATAGTAAAAATATCTGTGGATGAAAAGATAAGAAGTAAAAGGGTATCTAGGTATGGACATGCCATGCGGAGGGTTGAGGAAAATGCGGTTACGAAAGTGTTAGGTATGGAAATTAAAGGGTACAAGAGAAGAGGAAGTGGAAGTCGTAACGGTCTGGAAATACCGCAGGCGACAATTTGTTCCTCAGATTGGTATTGCGAGACAAAAGTTTGCTCTTATAATGTGCTCGCACTTAGAATATAATTTAAGACAGTGCTTACAAGAACGGACACTATTCTGAGCTATGTGTATTTTGCAATTTTAAAACATTTTATACAGCGTCCTGAAGATGATTGCTAGTAGGCCAGACTGTCCTATACAAAGGCACTGGGTGGCAATAGCAATAGGAAAGCATAGTTGAATGCCTTTCTACTGTTAAGTGTCATTACTAACAATACTAATAGACGCTAAGTTCATTCTGTTTTTGTTTCTAAACAACCTATGAACTGTATATGTCTGAAAATAAATATTATTATTATTATTACTACATCGTAATTATTAATGATAAAGGAACACAAAAGTACGTGTTATGCTTTTCTCGACATATTAGGCGATAAGGAGGTTGTACACTGTCAGGTATTTTACATGCAGACACTTTCAAAAAAGCTATTACGTAACTTTTACGAGTTACTTGCATAATCTGAAAGTAGTTTTTGAAAACTGTCGCTTTCTACGTCTGACGATACTGACATTCAAAATCATATAAATGTGTAATATAACAAAAAATATGCTAATTGTTTGTGCAAATATGTAAATTCAAATTGCGTTGAATAGCCTAGACTCTTTTCAGTGCATATATATTTATAAATTTTATATAAAATGTTAAGTTGGTTTGTGTACGCTTAAAAAAATAAAAATTAATCATTAATATGTCAAAATTTGAGCTTAATCGGTGTTTCTACACCGATTTTACACAAATACACAAAATTTGACACGATATACAACACACTTCACAGATGGTTTTTATCTATTTTTCACGGCACTTTCGCTCCTCCACCACCAACAGCCTACAACAGTCCACTGCTGGACATAGACCTCTCCTTAGAAAGGAGGTTTTGGCCTACTATACCACGCTGGCCAAACGGGTTGGTATAGGGTTTGTTTCAAGTTTTCCTTCTCTTAGCAGTGCTGTCGTCCTGCGTAGTTTGCTCCCTTAGTCGGCTCTTACGACACCCACGGGATGAATAGGGGTGGTGACATTCCGTATTCTTAATCCGTCACCACACGGACATTTCGCTCCTCATTTCTCGTCAATGTTACCACAATGTGTCACAGGGAAGCATAGCAAGGTACAACTAGTTAGTTAAAAAAATCGAAGTACACTTGACATAGTTACCTTTTTTTTTTTTTTTTTCCGTGCGGAGATCTCCTCGGATACCACCTGTCGGTGGCATGTCGGACTCGAACCGACTAAAACCGCACGCCTTCGCCGGGTACTAATAGCCGGGGAACCAGGTATACCGTAGAAAGGAAGGCCCTGGTGCCCCGACATACCTCGGGTCATCTACAGACGAGTAGACGACCCCCGCCCCGTGTGGGAACCCCATGTTCCCTGTGCTCCCTGGAAGCGAGCGCGCTTCGCAACGCGCTCGCCGCCACCCCGGCCTGCTTCTGCTAGGGTGACAGATGGCCTCACCTGTCACCCCCAGGCCTGCGCTTATGGAGGACGGAGGTCGTTCTGCGACCTCCGGCGCCTGAGTCGCCTGCGCTGCCTGGCCCGTGCCCGGGCCTGGCGGGCCGGGAGAGTTCTAAACCTCTCCCGGTCCCGCTCCGCCGTCTCTTTCGCGAGCATAACTTGCTCGCAGAAGGAGACGGCAGAGTTCCACGCACTCTCGCTCCGCACGATAGCCGCAATCAGGCTATCGAGCGAGAGAACTCCCACTCCGATGGCCGCCACGAGGTCTCGCCTCTGCTCAACCCACGCCGGGCACTCTGCCAGCGTGTGGAGAGCCGTGTCCACGGTCTGGCCATCGCAGTGGTGGCACTCAGGCGTTGGCTCCTTGCGGATCAGACACAGGTGATCTCCGAAACATCCCTTCCCAGTGATCACCTGCGTCAATCGGTATGAGAGGGTCCCGTGACGCCTCTCGAGCCAATCCTCCATAACGGGTCTTACCGCCGCAATGACGGCGTGCCCATTGACATAGTTACCTGGGAAATTTAAATTTGTATCCAATGACTCTAATCCAAGCAAACCTAGTCGCGATTAAGACTCTATTATAAATTGACTGCACGGATGGCGTAGTGGTTTAAGCAGTCGCCACGCCGCTTCCTACTATGCCGAGTGTTGTGGGTTCAAACCCCACATGGGACGACACTTTGTGTGACCCACCAATTGTTGTTCTGAGTCTGGGTGTTCATAACGTGTAGATTCGGATTACTTATTCATAAATCATATCATTTGACCAAACTACGGAGTACTACAAGTACTAATCCTGAATCTCGCAATGAACGTTCTTGCGCCGATTAGTAAGTGTATATACGAGTACATGTTACTATAAAAACCGAACTATTGTAAATCCTAAGATTTACCGGTAAAACCTAAGATTTACCAATGAGTTATGGTAAAAGTCCGAATTTCGAACATTTACCACTATCTACTTGATAAATCTTAAGTTTTTGTTTAAGAACACGATAAATGTCTATTTATCGTGTGTTTCACCATCAATGGAAGGGATCTGGCTCACTTCGCTCGCTCGCCTTCGCGCTTTAATGGTCACTGTTCGAACCCAACCTAACCCATAACCCAGATTTAACTTTAAAGTACTTATTGTTTTCTTCCCAAAACCAACATTTACCAACCGCCTCTGGTAAAACCTAGCACGTACCGGTTTCGGTGACGTATTAAGAATTCAATTCCACCCCAATTCATCCCGTGGGTGTGGTAAGAGGCGACTAAGGGAGCAAACAACAGCACAAAGAGAAGGAAAATTTGTCACAAACCCTTTACCAACCCGTCTGGCCAGCGTGGTATAGTAGGCCAAAACCTCCTTTCTAAGGAGAGGCCTATGTCCAGCAGTGGACTTTTAAAGGCTGTTGATGTGATGATGTGATGTACCGTTTTCTAATGATATAAATCCGAAAAATGTTCCCCTTTTTATTAATACTTACTTTTATCAACTCCTGTCGGTAAATCTTAGCTTTTACAGTAACATATACATTACGTCCCATCTATCCACGCCAGATATTATCATCACGCCTTCAAGGGAGGGTCTCTGGAGGGACACCATCACACTAATCCTATAGACGCGAAAGTTTGTGAGTGTGTGTATTTGTATGTTTGTTGCTTCTTCACACTGAGGCGGCTGGAACAATTTTTATTAAATTTTGTATGTAAGGTAGCTGACACCCCGGATTACTACTTTTTATTCCTAAAAAAATTAGTGTTGACACCTGCGCGGGTAACGCCGCGGGGCGCAGATACTACACCATATAACGGTCACCTCAAAAGAAAGCCATATACTTATATTAATAATAACATTTAATAAATATATTATATACTAATAATTAAACATTAATAGTTGGCAACACTGAGTGTCAATTTTAATAAATGACTTTAACAAGGTTCTTTATACTTTCTGAAGTTTTGTAACAACCGCTTATGTTAATTAATAAATTTGTATTCAGAAATGTATTTTTTTTTTAGCCGTCTCATTAAAAGTATTTTACCGTATCGTCGGGGGTACAAGTATCGTCGATGGTCATGAGTTCGATTCTGAGCGATAACTTCGCAGTAAGGTTGCGGTTTAAGGCTTCTCAGCAATCGCCACTTCGACTTCTGGCCGTTCAAGCTATTGCCCACAGATCCCCGAATCCATTAGCAGGAGCTATATTTCTTGCCTTGTATTGCCCTTCCTCTTTGCCTACTTTTCTCTTTTGAAACTCATTTAATATTTGATTGCACGGATGGCGTAGTGGTTTAAGAGGTCACCTGCCGCTCCTACTGCGCCGAGTGTTAGGGGTTCGATCCACACATTGTGTGATCCTCAAATTGTCGTTTGGGTCTGGGTGTTGATTGTGACCGTTTTATAAATCTTGTAAAACACAATGAAAAT